TGAGGTTTATTGAGTACAGTGATACCAAACATATGGTTTTGAATTTCTGCATTGAAAATTGATAGCAATTTTGTAAATGCCTTTCCAAGCATCAAATTATTTTTCAATTTAAAAAAATTCCACGTTAAAATATTTGACCCAAAAAACTTTAGAAAGAAAAAAAGGATACTATCCATCTACCCAACCTATTTTTTTTCAATACAATAGGAAGCAAAACTATCATTTTGTTTTGCCTAAAGGCTACACTCTATGTACTCTTTTGGTCACTAATTATTTCATCTAGAATATCTGTTTCAATCTGCATTCAACATTGGCTCATATTACATGTGTAAATCATGATGTTTCATATATCTGAGTCTTGGAAATGCTCACAATGTACATGCACATATACATAATACTGAAATTTATACTTTTTCAACTACCAGTGTTGGGAAATAACAAAAGGAAAACGTACGAGTGAACTATCTTTATATTTAACATCTTGGAAATTCCCATTATACATGTAAGAAAAGCAAGATGTTTAACTTGAAAATCCCTGCTGAAAAGTAACTTTCTTCATAATTGAAAAAAATTTGAACTTAACCACTTGGCACCGGATGACGTGTAAACACACACAATTTCTTTATTTGTTCCACAGGGCACGTTTTCCCTCATTTATGTATGTATTTACGTGTTGTGCTTGGTTGAGCCCGAGCGCAGAAGATGATCCTACATGCGGAAGCTGCTATTGAGTGGATCCCCGTCCCCCAAACCATAATAAATCCAGAAATGCCTTTCATAAGTAGTTAGAATTGACACGGGGAGCCATACACAGACAAGCTAAGGGGATTAAAGACCTTTAATGACCTTTTGTATGTGAACTGCTTGATGTCTGGACATGCACCACAATTTTTACTAGGGAACTTGAAAAATGGCTGAAACAAAAGAACTCGGGGGGGGGATGAAAATACTGATGCCTAAACTCGAGAGCTGTGCCTCCTTACATATTTTATGGGCACGAGAAATAACTTGCAAGGTTGAAGACTTTACCAAAAAAAAAAAAACACTCCCCGCAGCTTTTTCGGGGAAGAAAACCTAACATTAACTGGTTAAAGGCCTTTCTGGCAAGAGCAGGAGCAAAGACAGTCCTTTGATGGGGCCTCATTTTGTCTGTGTGCAGCGTCTGCACCTAGGGACACTCTGGCCACGTGTAGACAATTTCTGTTCGAATGTGCAGGCTTGTGGGTGCATTCTCAGCACACGGTCATATTACTCATGTGTACAATGACTACACAACAGACACAGGATCATATTCAGGAAAATTTTCACAAATTACACACTGTGATGTCAGTATAAAAACACTGTAAATAGCACTAATCTTGTTAAGTAACCAAGTGCAATATTATTGGATTGCCTTTTCCTATCATATATGCCTGTGGACAATTATTGACATTATATATGTTGGAAAATTGTTGGTTCCTGCATTATCCTGTGGCAGAAAATGGCCACAATTTAATAGGATCTTGGATGAATCATGCAGCGTTAAAAATTGATGTTTGGGGGGCTCTAAGACTCAAGGGGGGGTGTGCCCCTCCACAGGCTTGAACTAAGTGTTAAGGCATGGCAGATGGTAAATGCATGGCTGAGTAGACAGCAAATGGGAAGGCTCTGCAGTCAGTCTAGACAATTAAGAATGGCCAGCTACCAGTATGGCACCAACTGGGATGAAGTCCAGACCAAGTTGAATGCAAGAGAAAATTCCTGTCAGGCCTGTGTACATTTATGTAATTAATGAGTATAAGGACAGTATGAATGATGCCTGAGTTGAATGGCAAATGGTTCCTGTACCATGTATTGTGTGTATGAACATGTACATATGCATGAAGCTAAATGACCAAAGTCATCATTCATCATGCTACAAGAACTTATAACTAACAATGGACAAACCTCTTTTGACCTTCAACATAGCAGCAGTGTCTTTCCCACCTACATGTACTGCATGATGCTCATTTGGGGGAAAAGGTGAAGGAATATGCCCTGCTAAATCCTGCTGATGTTGCTATGGAAATATTTAGTTTCTACACAAACACAGTAAGAAGGGATGTGCAAAGAAGTCTCCTGTGTGCACTGCAACCACTGTTTTCGAAATGTTGAGCATACACACATCAAATCTGCATGTATAAGTAAACTTTCTGAAACACTTCCCAGCAGACATTAGAAGCAATTCAATTTTTGTCATTGTACATCATCTTTCTAGGAATTCTTAAGAGCCTCTCTGAATCCTCCAAATTCAAACATTATTGCAACTGAGCGGTGTGTTATTTGTGCTGAGACTTTTGCATAGTTTCAAGTCTCACATAAATAATTGCTTGATCTTATCGTATTAAATTCCACAAAATCCACCCAGCCAACTCGGTAGATTTTATTGGACCCCATGGATTTGTAGGATCTTTAAAAGATAAACGACAATGCCTTTTTTTCAATGCACAGCAACCCAACCTATCAAGAACAGCAAAATAAAACTACAATACCTACATGTACCAGTATCATCTTGAGAAGTTTCATTTTCACAATTACAATACACACATGTATTGCTTTAGTACATGTGTACATGTTTTTATGTATACATTACTACATGAACCAATATAAACTGAAATTTCATAAAATCTCACCCTGTAATCTATCGCTATGTTTGGTCTCATAGGCACATACATGGAAGTATTTATAACCTTTATCCAAAAGTACATGTACTCCATCCTAAGAGTGAATCATGTTGGGTCCAGGTTTTCCATCTTTTGTTGGTTTAATTTCATGCATCCATCCACACTTCCCCTCTTAATACATGATGTATACATTTAATCCGCTTGTACATGAAACTGAAGGTCAGTCAATGACCGTAATGGTACCAACCCCTTTTATTGAATCACCAATGAACAATTTAGGTCAAATATTAAGGGCTGATGCATGCCTAGAAGACTGAAGGAGACAGTCAGTCTCATCTCTCATGTTACTGATACCATCACACTCTGCATGGTACCATCCAAAGTGATCACATCATCTCTGCAGGGCTACAGCACAATGCATCAAATTGTAAGAGCCAGAATGAAGCTACAGCAATGGATGCATGGAACGTGTCACACACAGTGTTCATATGATTTTGGGTACTTGGAATGTGGTCTAGGTAATGTGAAACTTTCTGCACTCAAAAATTAATTCCTGAGTCAAACGATAAATGGAAGCATGGACAAAGGGCACGTACATGTACATGTAGTTCATAGGGCGAATCCATGATGGAACTACAAGTACATGCACATTGTACTGTAGCAGAACATGCACCTGTGAATATCTGAAGAATACACTGATGTTGACCCTTTAATCAGTCTTAGAGTGTGTCCTCTCATATTGACTTTTGTAATGTTCCCAAGTGAAACCCCATCCTTCTCATTATGGAATTGTTTGAAACATAATCTATCAATACATGTATGTATGGCATACATATGTACAAGTACTGGTGCTCTATTATGTGAAAGAGCCAATGCTAGGGCCAGTGCAGGTTATTAAATACTGGCAGTGAATATATATACATGTACCGGTACATGTACATGTAGAATATGGGCACAGAATGAGGGAGAGAGAAATACAGAGTACCGAAGCGTGATGCCATTTAGAACCAGTAAATGCCGTACAAATGAAAGGGGTATGACCGTGTGTTGGTTCAACTGCTGGTTCTCACGCTAAAGCCTTTTACACACAAAGTTGTGTGACGTACTCACTTTGGTACTCCACAAACACATATGAAGAACAGGAAATCAAAGTTTACCAAGATCCAACAAACAACAGAGGCTTATCAGAGAAAATATATGTAATATATTTATTATATATATGTATATTTACTCCACTTGACTGTGTGCATGTTCACAAATACGTAAAACTTCTAGACAATACATGAATTTCTTGGGAAAAAGGCCAGCTTGAATGAAAACAGTTACATGTACACAGACCCTCTCTATATATACCATAGGTACATGTATCGGTACATGTAGGCCACTCAAGGCCATTGCCATTCCTACCATTTACATGTATTTAGGACAAATGCACTTTGAAAGGTTGCTGCTCCAGAGTTCAATTAAATGTACTGGTAAGACTTGAACGCATATAAAATAGCACCATGGGACATAACAATAACATGAAAACACACAGCTTGCAGGCTATTTCTTCTGACAGTGTGGGTACTGGGAATAAACTCTGATAACCCAGACTGCTCTGGGAACACCAGCTTATGAAAAATGTAGGAGAAATGCTGCAATAGGGTGAACTGTTCCGTTCCCAGATGAGTTTGTCGGTTGACTTGATGACTGGTCTATTGGTTTGAACCTGGAAATTGATTTGGTCAGGCCACGTGGGTTCAGGAATTAGTAGAATTATCATAACACAACAGAAAATTCTGTGCTGGTGTGCTGGTACAGTAGCTCTACTCCTTGGCTGCATTATGTACATTGTATGATGCAGGAGGGTACAAATTATGCCCTTCATTATTTCCATAGAGGTTTGTACCCAACCTGTGTGTACGTTCTATTTACAGACAACTGGGAACATGTACCGATGTGGTGTTGAGGGGACAATTTGTTTTGTAGGGAAAGCTGAGACTGAGTTGTGGGGACAAATTCTGTCTACATAATGTTTAAGGTCCCCATAACATCACGTGTTAACCCCCCCCCCCAAATTACCTGCCCTCACATGTTGCCTCAACAATTACAAAAAAAGAGATGTTTGTGCATGTGGGGCATGTACGTTTACGTTGACCAAGGCTAAGATCATTGTATAAACTGGAGACTATGAAATGATTTCAAGTCATTGAGTTTATACTTACAGATCCACATACCACTGCGTGGTCCTGCTCAGCCGATGTGACATGATGTTAGCAGATTCAGGAAATCTGGCAATTGTAATCAAATCCACAAACTTGTCAAATTCAAAACTACCCTAACACTGACAGTCCTTGACAGCAGAAATGAGAGAGGTGTTGTCACTGTTAAATTACATGTACATGTACTTCAGGGCAACTCTTGGAAAATATGGGGGGCTTTCAACAAACAAGACAGTGCACTGTTTTGGAAAAAAATATCCAACTACAGAGCTACATGTATAATGAATTCATCTAATGCACTCAACAATGGCTGCAGTTGTACATTATTTCCTTGAACAAAAAAATCATCCTGGCACAAAAAGTTTGCATCCTCCCATCTTTAATTTACAGAACAAAAACAAGAGAAGCTCATCTGTCAGTATGCCAAAACTTCATACCTTTTCATGACAGAGGTAGAAAAATCCCTGATAAACGGACAAAACTTTTTCTTATCCATCATAAATCTACTTACATTTTAAGGAGCCCCTTATTGCTACGGTACCAGTATACAGGTGCTTTGTCAGGTGTGGAGTGTCCTTTACGCACTGCTCAATGATACATTGTACTCACATACACGTACATTAAATTTGTACATGTGTACATTGTACGTGCAGGGATTCTACATGTACATCACATGCACCATACCGGTACATGAACTGTGTAACTACCGTATGAGGAAGTGATACTTGAGTTCACATGTAATGTACATTTTACGTATATAGAAACATGTCAATGTACATGTGTACACACTGCTTACTTCTGGTTGTCCTTTCACATGTACACGTATTTATGTACCTGTGTATGATCTATGATTTCTCTTGTGTGTATCCCATTCATTGGTTTTCATATTTCATGTACATACATCATGTACTGGTACTCTTGATCAACTCGAGTTAAGTGAAATGAAACTGATGACCCCATATCATGTGAACAACAGTGTGCTACAACAGGGAAGTGATTTCACAGGGAATTTGTGTAAAGGAATTGGGCACACTTTGAAAAAACATGGTAGTCTTTGGATTACCATCTTTTACAAACTCAAGAAGGAAACATTTATTGACTCCAGGTCAAGGAGTCACCCTGACACTAAGTATATATACATAGAGTTGCACATACATGTATAATAGGGTATCTTTTGTTTGTTTTCGGAGAAGGATTAAACAATTTTGTCTCTTTTTATTATTTTATTGCCATTCCAAACCTTGCCCATTCTCCTACTTACTGTGCATTATACCCATACTTTTTCGCATGTGACATGGTTAACACTCTTAATGTTATTTTTATAAGTTGATTTGGCACCAATATTTAAATATTATTTTTACATTCTACACTAGCAGCCTGCCTGTGAGTTTCATTTCTACTGTGTGGGTGAGTTTTGTTTTTCTACCGGTAACTGTTCAATTTGTGGCAGTTGGTCTTTATTGATATTTTGATGGTTTTATTCTGTGAATTTAATATCCGTCTGTCCTTTTTTTTTAATTCACTGACTCTTTCGTTTCTTCATTTTCCTTGTATTTTAAATTATCAAGTAGCACCGAGGAGAGTAACTAGTACATGTAGACAATAATTAAGTTTGGTTTTGGGACAATCCTGCGGGGGTGCTACTTACAGTACATTATGTGCAGTCTAGATTTTACGATAGTATTTAATGCATTTTGTAAATGTCTACTTGCATGTATTTTGATGGTTGATTTTACCTTCAAAATTAATAAATGAACTGAATATGAAAAAATCAGAGACTGTCACTTTCAAAGATGATGAGCTCCACTTGAAAGACAGGTTGAGCTAGATACTGAATAGGATGTTAAGAATATACACACATGTACATGTACGTACCTGAGGTGGGCCCTTACTTATTACTTAGTACATGTACTGGTACCATACATGTACAATGTACATGAACATATATGTAGTAACCATAACAGTTTCTTCTAAATTAGAAAGTTCACATTTTCAAGCAAACCTGTTTGTATGTTTCACTAAAAAAAGGTAAAAGCAGTGGTGAGTTCAGTCTATTCACATACAATGTAACCAGACATACATGTACATGTACATGTACATGTAGCGAGTATAAATCACATTCCATTTAAATTAATTGGTTAATTGTTTTCCCATTGATGGAACCATTCATTACTACAGTGGTCACATGAAAAGAATCTTTTTTTTTTCGCCATAGCAGACAATGGATATCAAAAGAGGTGCTCTGTACAAAACATGTATCTGGGCTACTCACACATCTTGCACACCTGCCCATACAAGTGGATGTATTATGGACCTACCTAGGTTTATGAGCCTACCAAGAATCATCATGGCTTCCACTGTCATGTGTGCACACAGGCATTTCAACTTGCTTAGCCAAAGTTCAGCAATCTGAACTCTTGATGCCAGTTCCAGACAACAACAGTTTTGCCAAATGCTTGGAAAATTCATTTCACATATGAACAGACCACAAATGGTGTGCAGCGTTCTGTGTAAATGAGCCCAGGCATGGATAGGCAAGGCAGTACTGTGAAGGCACATTATGTGTATGGGCACATGTGTGTACAGGTACATATACAGGTACATACTGTGTGTACACATGGAGGTAGTGAGGGGGAAACATTCTTGTTCTGTTGTTCACTATGCCTGCGGGTACATGTACATGTACACTGTACTGGTACATGTACATGTACTATTGATACCACTGTTCTATGCACGCATGCAGTAAGCACAGTCATGACACTTTACACAAACACATAATTTCTAGCGATACCAATAAAAAATGCCAAACACTATTCCATCTTTCTGTATGATGAGGATTTCTTCAGTCATTGTGTGATACAAATAATGAATGTTTAACAATCATGCAATGAAAAGAGCAACTTCATTCAGTGAAAGACTGAGTGTTCTCTTCCACTGGGCTTGGCCTCAAGGATTGAAATACTCAATCTGTCATTTCAAGGACTTTTTTTTTACCGTGGCGCTCAAACATTCACAATTGGTGCATGCACAGGTTTTGGTACACTGAATGATAACCAGGGTTGTACCAAGGCACTAATTTTTGTTGCTCAAAGTCAAGTCACTGTGAAGTTGAATCAAGCAAACGTCGAGTTGAATAATTAGCTTGAGTCAATTCGAGTCATTAGTATTTGGATTCAATGCGATAAATACGAAACAAGAGAAAGTCATTTTTTTTGGCATTTGAAAAATTACCTCTGGGTTTATTTCTACATGTGGTCACACCATATCATCATCTTGATAACACATGACATATATATTATAAACCGGTGCTGTAAGTAATTGCTAGTGCTGCAAGTAGGTGCAAAGGTTCAGTTCAGGTTCCGTTTGGATGCGGTTTGGAAATTTTTTGCCAAACTTTGGTTCGGTTCATATTAGGACATGTACACACATGTACATACCAGTCCATGTACATGTACATGTACAATGCACACTGAGATATCAAAGAGCTCACTGCAATCGTGCCGAATATAGTACTTCCATGTATAAAAATGTTGATACATGTGTAAGCAATGAATCTCCCCTCCATCCATGAGCAACTTCGATATGAACATAATTTTTTCTAAACTGTTTCCCCGAAGTTTGTTTTGGAGTTAATATTCCATTGAAAGTTACCATTGGAGGTGTGACAGTTTCCGACCATGTTTGCCGACCAAAAGCGGTTGTACATGTATTTGGACCACTCAACAAAACAATCAAAGGATATGTGAAAACAGAAAAAACATGCCCAAATGGGAGTGTCCTCCTTTACAGGATGCAAAATCAAATTAGATTTTGGGCAAAATGTGTTTTGGTAATTTTTCATGAAACACATTCAGCTATCAAATTATGGCTTTTGATGTTAGCGAAGAAGAACCTTGGTATCAAGCTACATGTAGCATTCTTTCCCAGGAGGGCGCCCAGTTATATGAGATTTGCAAACACTTAGAGATCTGGCAAAATTCGATTGCAACGTATTCACACTCCGACTTTGATCAAACATGATCAAATGAAAGGTAAGTTAGGCCACTGGAAGAACCAAATCTTCTTGTGTGCTGAAGCAAGCACACCACCACCCTGCCTGGCAAAATAAGTTTTCCCTTCAAAGTTGCCTTTGACCGAGCACGAGTCCAACTGTGATCAGCATCCAATCAAATTCGTTTTACATGGCCATTTATGATATCATTGGCCTAATATGGAATGTAAGGGCGAAGCTATCGGAGATTGGCAAACATAATGCTAAATCTTAACATACGTAAGCATAATTAGATGGAATGAGAATTTAGAAGTATTGTGCAGTGGAAATGCCGTACGTTGCGTGTTCTCCATTGGTTATCAGTGAATTCTCACCACGTGCTAATATTACAATCATCACGTTACGTGGGGCAATCGTAAGTTTACTGTACATGTACATTTACAGTAAATGTACACGAACAAGTGCTGAGTGGCAGTGCGGCATAACTCATTATCCATTTTTCGTGTTTGCTTTTTATCATGTTTTCTTGCATGCATTCTGTACGCTATCAATGCCCTTTAAAACCGAACATCCAAACCGATTAGTTTGGCTTGGTTCGGTTCGCAAGTGTCATGTTAGATTCATTTTTGGTTCGGTTCGGTGGTTTGGCAGCAGCACTAGCAATGGCACAAATTTTTTCCAAAGTTCGCTTTTATTTTTTGGACTCGAGTCTTATTAATTATCACTTAACGGAGTCAGGTCTTCTGATGAAGGTCCTGAGTCAAGTTATTTGCTTTCAGTGACTTGAGTCACGTCATTTAAATCCATCGGGACTCCAGTTGAGTTGAGTTGAGTTGAGTAGGACTCTGTGCTTTACCTTCATCATTGCAACAAATAGAAAAAAAATATAGTGGAAGTACCAACATAATAGCTTTTACAAATGAAGTCTTTAGAAAAGTATTTTATTTTTCAAAGGGTATGAATACTTTTGAGCACAACTGTAAGTCTTAACGATGACACAGACTTGTTTTTTGCGCGCTTCAAGACTTGCACCAGATGTAGTTACGTCAACTTCAAGGATCTGATCCGGATTTGCTTT